AAAATGGCATAATAGGGGCCCTTTAAAGTGCCCCTTTTGGGGGGGGGGGGGACTTTCAGTGTAACCACCAATCTTACACTATTTATACTACAAAATGGCATAGACACCCTTTGTCACCTTAGGACAAAGTTTCACAAACTTTTTTACTTCAGGGCCCCCCCTTTGTCCAAAACAATATTCAGATTTCCTTGTATCTAAGCTTATATTTACTCCTTGTACTTTTGTTGTAATAAAAATAAATAAACTCAAAAATATGATGTCAGTTTACTGTTTAGTACATGATGGCGGCTTTTTAAGGAAATGAAAATCTGAGTAAAGATACCTGATGCAAGACTAGCTAGAATAAACATATTCCGAGAGACTCCCAGTAAATCAATATCTGAGGAATTCAGATAACAGAGTGGGAGTGGGGCTGAAATTCAAGTCCAGTGGAAATCAATGGGAAATCCACGTCCAGGGAAAGCACCTGGACTGGATACCTGAATCAGACTGAAGGTGCTAAACACTGGCAATATGCCATAATCAGTGACCGTCATGGAGAATGTGGGACATGGAACCTACTGTATGTTCAGCACCACTAGCATCAATAAACAGAATTAAATTCAGCTTACTAATGGTTTAATAATACCTGAATCTGCATGGTGAGATAGAAGGTACTTTAAGATAAAAAAAATAAAACCCTTGAACACCAGTCTCTAGCAGAGGTTACAGGAGGGAAGAAAAGAAACCGATCAGTGGGTGGGCAGAGGGACACATGAAGCGTGACTGTTGCTTTAACCTTCGTCACTGGCCCCTGACATGAGGACAAGACTTGAGCAGCTGCTGTCTTACCGTCAAGCATCCCATAAGGCTTTGCTCGAATGGCCGCTGGAAGGCTCGTGGGTCTCCGCACCAGTCCAGCAGTTCTGTGGCCGCTGTCTGGAAATTGGCCGGATTCTGTAAGTGCTGTTTGAAGAGAAGAAATCACAAATATTACAAAATCTAGAGGGAAAATCTAGTCAACACTTAAGCATACTTAAAAACTTAATTTTTAGTAATAAAAAATAAACAAAAATATTCAAATTGTTTAGAAAGTATAACCATAATAGTTCAACATGACATGTTATCATGAGATAAATATCACATAAATATCAACCTCTTAAAGAGATGGAAAATGGAAATTCTGTCATCATGTACTCACCCTCATGTCATTCCAAACCTGTACAATGGAAGTACAGTCTTTTGCTCCACAGAAGAAAATCATACAGGTTCGGAATAACACGAGTGTGAGTAAATGACAATTTTCATTTCTGAGTCAATTACCTTTCATTTTGTAATAAAAATATGAGCTTCACATTTATAAATATAACGTAATATATTTAATACATCATAAAATATAATCAACATAACAACTACTACTACTAACATAGCTATTACTTATTAATACATTCATATTAAAACTGCATTTAAAAACTTTTTTTCAAAACTGAGGGACATGTCAAAACAATTTTATGTGAAAAAAAAAGAATATAATTTCGACGTTGTTCTAGAATATTCTAAATTATTTCTTTAAACAGACAGAAGCACTTGAAAACCTACAGAAAAATATTTAAAGAATAATAATAAAAAAAACATTTGAAAGCATGTGAACCAAAAAACCAACCACTCA